CTCTCTACAGAGTACCCCACTGCAGGCCCGACCTCGCCTTTTTCCCTCAGCGTCCTCTCTCACTTTGTTGCGACTGGGATACACCGTCTAGTTCACTGGACAGCTGCTGTGAGGGTGGCGAAGTACCTGACGACTACATCAGGCATGGGGCTTGTGCTTGGAGGGACACAGCCAGTTGTGTTGACCACTCACTGCGACTCTTCCTACGCTGACAACGTGGAGACTCAGCGCTCGACTCAGGGTTACTGCTTCAGTATGGGTGTTGGTGCTGTGTCGTGGAGGTCTACACGGTCGTCGTCTGTGGCTTCGTCCAGTGCAGAGGCATAAATCTACGCTGGTGCCATGGCGGCACAGGAGCTTCGCTGGTTGACCTTGCTCGCCGACCTTGGTGAGCGGCCTCGCTCTGCACCGACCTTGTACGCTGACAACAAGGCCATGATCCTCCTCTGTCGAGAGCCTCGACTGGAGAGCAGGGTGAAGCATATTGACGTGAGGTACTTTCTCCTACGAGAGTTGCAGCGACGCGGCCAGGCACGCTTGGACTTTGTGGCCTCAGAGGCCAACACTGCCGACGTCTTCACCAAGGCCTTGGCGCCTGGTGACCACCACAGGTTCTGTGTGCAGTTGGGGCTTGTTGACGCTGGTGTCCGGTTACTGTAGACTTTCTTCTTGTTGCTTGCTCTGCTTGTTCCTGTATCTATACATATTGTGAACTCTTGAACTGGCCTTGTGGCCCTTTGCTTGTGCTCAGATTGTGTGGTGACTTCGTGATCCACCCTGAGCTTGTTGTGTTCCTTCTCTTGAGTGGTCTTGTGACCCTTTGTTTCCCTTGGTTGATTCGATGCCCCTCACTTAGCCTATAGGGGTGTGTCAAATGTTTATATGTTATAGATGTTAGTTATCTAGGCTACAGTGAGTTGCCCTCTAAAGGGTACAACATTCTATAGGTTCCTACTCACTCAAACCATTCCCTCGACACTTGTTCCTAGGCTATAGTGAGTGTTGACCTGCCTTGCATAGGGGCCTGGACGAGATGGAGGAGAAACTCTTGCAAAAGAGTTTCTGAAAAGCTGGATAGGCAGGCGTGTTTCTTGAAAGCATGCCATGGTGTGGGTTCTTTTTCTGTGCTTTGCTGAAAGGCAGCGAAGCTAATGCCTATCCATTACAAATACCGTATGAGGTGAAAGCCTCATACGCTCTGAGCGTTGATTGAGCCAACCAATTGAGGCTGTTATTCCAGCTGTTTAAGGTTCGTTAATTAATTTCCCTATCATCTCAAGGACGCCAAAATTTTGTGTCAAGCCTGACAAGTCACTTGCAGCACAACGCTAACACGTCCCTAGAAACCAGGACAGCACACAGTCCCTAACCCACCCAAACCCGTCTAGTTGGCCTTGGCATACTTGGCTGGGGCATAGGGCTTCCACCACGTGGGCTCGTATTTAGGGTAGGGCGCGACCCAGTTGGCGGGCTTGGGGAAGGAAATGTCGAAGGGCTTGCCCTCCAGCGCGTCGTCCTGTGAGCTGGCCTCGAACTCACCCTTGAGCACGCGATCCAGACGCAGCTTCATGAACCTGCCAGGAACGCACGATGGGGCACGAGTTGTGCAAGGAGAAACAGTCCGTTTGGTTTCGACTCGCATAGAGTATGGGAGGCAGGGAGGGAGCGGGGAGGGGATGTGCGGGGAACGAGGGTGCAGGATCATGATCGGGGAGCACGGGGGTACGAAAGGAGGTAATGTTGATCAATGGGAGGCAAGATACAAAACCAGGATGTGGGAAATGTTTGTAAAGCGAAGCCAAGGCAACATCTAAAGCTGAGACAGTAGTGGAGACACCTGACCGTCTTCGTTGAGATAACGAAACAACATTGGCTCCAATGCCACGCAAAAAGTAGATTCGCTTCAGTAGGTATTGTTCCTAAATAGCGGCTTGATTGCAACCGACTCGAGATCTATCCCTGTGTTTACGTGACCTAAATATCCCAGGGTAAAAGGTCGAGGTGCGTGCGCGTGGGTGACGGAAGGAGGGAGTAGGAACGGGGACGAAGACAGGCCGAGAGGATAGGGAAAGAAGAAAGAACGAGGACGAAAGGATAGAGGAGGAGGAGAGGACGAGAGGATAGGGGAGAAAGAGGGGACGAAGGAATAGGGGAGGAGGAGAGGACGAGAGGATAGAGGAGAGGCGACAGGATAGGAGAGGAGGAGAGAACGAGATAATAGAAGAGGAGAGGACGAGAGGATAGAAGAGGAGGAGAGGACGAGAGGATAGAAGAGGAGGAGAGAACGAGATGATAGAAGAGGAGGAGAGGACGAGAGGATAGGAGGAGGAGAGGACGAGAGGATAGGAGGAGGAGAGGACGAGAGGATAGGAGGAGGAGAGGACGAGAGGATAGGAGGAGGACGAGAGGATAGTAGGGGGAGAGGACGAGAGGATAGGAGGAGGAGAGGACGAGAGGATAGGGGAGGAGAGGACGAGAGGATAGGGGAGGAGAGGACGAGTGGATAGGGGAGGAGGACGACGAGAGGATAGGGAGGACGACGAGGAGAGGATAGGGGAAGAGGAGAGGACGAGAGGATAAGGGAGGAGGAGAGGACGAGAGGATGGAGGAGAGGCGACAGGATAGGCGAGGAGAGGCGACAGGATACGGGAGGAGAGGACGAGAAGGTAGGGTAGGAGAGAAGGACGAGATGATAGGGAGGAGAGGACGAGAGGATAGGGAACGAGAGGATAGGGGACGAGAGGACAGGAGAGGACGAGAGGATTGAGGAGGAGAGGACAGGGGAGGAGAGGACGAGAGGATAGGGGAGGAGAGGACGACAGGATAGTTAAGGAGAGGACGAGAGGAAAGCGAAGGAGAGAACGAGAGGAAAGCGAAGGAAAGGACGAGAGGAAAGCGAAGGAGAGAACGAGAGGATAGCGAAGGAGGAGAGGACGAGAGGATAGGGAAGGAGGAGAGGACGAAAAAATATGCGAGGACGAGGAAAAGAGGGAACGAGGGGTTGTGAACGCATAGAGAGAAGGACAGGCGCAAGGAGAAGAGGAGAGGGGAGTTAAAGAGAGACGAGGCTTACGTGATCCAGGTAGCGTCAGTAGAGACGAGAGCGACGGCGGGTCTCTTGACGCGCTTGGCGATCTCAGGGAACTCCTCGAGGAACTTGGGCTCGAAGACGAGCCAGAAGTTCTGCTCCGTGCCCTTCTCCTCCAGCCACCGTAGCCGCTCCTTGAGCTGCTCCTGGAAGTGCTCCTCCTCGTCCAGCATGAACGTCGCGTTCGCCACCACGAAGTGGTACTTAACGCCAGCCTGCACTCCCAAGGGACGCGGAGGGATACGCGTATGCGTGGGAGGCGAAGCGAAGCGATGCGAGGCTAACGTGGTGAGCGGATTGCAGACAGAACACGAGTTTCAGTCTCTAAATAGGTACGACGTTGATAGCTTCGACGGGTGGACGAATGTCGAGGTTGTACGAAGGCCGTCTGTTCGCAATGAAAAAAACTACTATTGAAACAAAAGATACTGGTTTGCGAAGCGGCGGGCCCGTGCAATGCGGAAACCTCAGAACTGGTCAGGACAGGTCAGCGCTGGTCAAGACTGATTTACCTCGTCGGCAGAGCCTGCTGATGCCTTAACCGCTACGGAGCGTGCAGACACGCGGGGAGCGGCCTGCACCTGCGCGCTGGCACTGAGCACCACCGGTCTGGCGACGCGCGCCTTCCTCCATGACGCAACGAGCGACGCCTCTTGTCGCTGCGGCCTGGCAGCAGCGCTGGAAATTGCTGGTGCGGCGCAGGCGACATTCAGCCTCGCGACGGAAGTCGCTTGAGCCATTGTTCAAAGAGAATGTGGGAAGATCCTCAAGAAATGAGAGATCGCACGGTCAGCTTCCCAAGTGCAGGAAGACGAAGCTCAAGATCGGGTGGTGGGTTTGGCTGGCTGATGGGGTTCAACGAAAAATGTGCCTTTCAGCTTCAGCCTGAAAACGCAAATCTGAGAAATTCCTTTCCAGGAGCGAAGAGAAAGGAAAAGAGGATGGGGGAATGATAGATTCCCAGTCACGCGGAGTTGGAGGGGGCAAATGCTGAGCTCGAGGATTTCTTGACACGGACCTGGCCCTCATCATCAATTCTTCCAGACGCTGCGCGGCGAGCTCGAAATGACAGGTGGAGGCCACGTAGGCGTTTCATAGGCAATATAGGTTTTACCAATCACGGAGTGTCATATTCCTGCGCGGTCTGCTTGTTGTTGACAGCGCTGCAGGCCCCCAGGCACATGTAGATTGTTCGTAAGTTCTGAGCCAATAGTGGAGCTGTGTGACACTCTGGAAGCCCATGAAATGGATTGCTTACATCTCGCTGGGAGCTGTTTCGATGTTGACTTTAGGAAGGGAGTGTGTTTTACAAAAAAACGGGATCAACAGGCTACTATAACGATACTTCATAATCAGACATATGTGCGAAATGGGCAATTTTGAAATCTAATTGCTAATACAATTACAGCGATTATGTCCTTGTGGGTCTCGTACCGTATGACCCCGGATAGTAGCGCCGTCTGATTAAAACCCGCAGCCTGAATTACAAAAAAAGTTGGGAGGTGTTAAAGCGACGGGCAACTTTTGGCAGTGTTGGGTTCAGAAGTTTTTTTTTTGAACCAGGCTTGCCAGCGCGAAAGTGCTGGCTGGCGAAAACCAGGATTTCGTGCGGACACTTTCCATCCGCAGTAACAGTTCGCCAGGGTTCTGGGTTTTGGGTGGCAAATGTGCACCGTCGCTTTAACACTTTCCCTCCCGAACCAGGGTGGTTACCAGTTGTGCACGGGCAAAACGTGATGAAGTCGCATGCAGCTCACGGAAGTGTCGCTCGGTTCCTGCGCAACCACTCTGGCCTTGGTGTGCACACCAAACTGGAAACCTGTAATTCAGGTCGATAAAAACTGCCTAGTCCGATCAGCACCAGCGGCAGCCATAGCTTAGAACAGCTAGGCTCCAACCTCATTCCAGCCCCATGCCTCATAGATCAGCCTTACTCGTTAGGACTAATACTCCATTCCTTAGGTGCCAGAGATATAACTTTCTGTCCGCGTTTCTAAGGTGAATCGCCCTACTTCGTCGCATTCGCTTCTTCTCCCCGTAGTCCACACTCCGTCCCCTTCCGTCCCACACACGCACTCCCCTCCATCGCTCACGCTTCCTCGCGACAACGAGCACGCTCCCTCCCCTCCCGTCTCCTTTGCGCTCGCTCCATTGTCGCACACGCGCGCTCTGTTTTCTCGCGGATTACAATTCCCTCCCGTCGCCCACGCGGGAGCGCCGAGACCGATTACGCACACTCCCTTCCGTCACCCACGCTCACTTCGTTCCCGCCGCAGACGCGCACTCCCTTCCGTCGCCCCCGCGCACTCCGTCAGTTACCTCGGCCCACGCGCACTCCCTTCCGTTGCCCACTCTCAAGACCTTCCCGTCGCCCACGCTCACACCCTTCCCATCGCCTACGCGCAATCGTTCAGTCGCCCACTCTCAATCACTTCCCTCGCCCACGCTCGCTCCCTTCCCGTCGCCCACGCTCACTCCCTTTCCATCGCCTTCGCGCAATCCTTACATCGCACACGCTCACCCCCGCTCGTCGCACACGGCCAATTCCCTCTCGTCGCACGCTGCCGCCCGCGCCGCGCTCTCCCTTTCAATCTCCTCCCGTCGTCCACGCGCACTCCCTCCCGGCGCGCGAGACGACTCCCCGTCCGCCGCCCACGCTCACTCCCTCCCGCCGTGACGGTCCCCTCCGTCGCACATGCTCACTCCCCTCCGTCGCCCACGCCCACTCCCTATGGTCGCACTCACTCCTCCCCGTCGCCCACTCATTCCCCTCCGTATCCCTCGCTCACTCCCCTTCCGCCGCCCACGCTCGCTCCCTCCCGTCGCGTTCGGCCCCATCCGTCGCCCACGCTCACTCCACTGCCGTCACACACGCACGCACCCTCCCCTCGACGGAGAGGGGGTGCTCCGCTTCCCTCGCATATGCGTTCATCTCCCCATCCCTCATCTCCCCATCCCTCATCTCCCCATCCCTCATCTCCCCATCCCTCATCTCCCCGTCCCTCATCTCCCCGTCCCTCATCTCCCCATCCCTCATCTCCCCGTCCCTCATCTCCCCGTCCCTCATCTCCCCGTCCCTCATCTCCCCGTCCCTCATCTCCCCGTCCCTCATCTCCCCGTCCCTCATCTCCCCGTCCCTCATCTCCCCATCCCTCACCCCCCCATCCCTCATCTCCCCATCCCTCACCTCTCCGGTCTTCCTCTCCCTCTCCCCTCTCCTCTCATTCCTTACCCTTCTCCCTCTCCTCTCCCTCCTCCCTTTCCACTCGCCCCGCCACTCCCGCCGTGCTTCTCCCTCCCCCCATTCCGCCTCGCCCCATTCCGCCCCACCCCATTCCGCCCCATCCCATTCCGCCTGACCTCATTCCGCCCCACCCCATTCCGCCTCACCCCATTCCTCCTCTCCCCGTCCCCTCCTCACTTTACCCCCCTCTTCTCCCCTTCCCCACCTCATCCCATCTCCTCCTCTTTCCGTCCACCCCTCCTCACCCCATCTCCTCCTCTTTCCATCCAGGCCTCCTCACCCCATTCCGCCTCACCCCATTCCGCCTCCCGTCCTCTCCCCATCCCCTCCTCTTACTATCCCTCCTCTCCCTGTCTCTCCTCTCCCCATCCCTCCTCTCATCCCTCCTCTTACCATCCCTCCTCTTACCATCCCTCCTCTCCCCATCCCTCCTCTCCCTATCCGTCCTCTCCCCATCCGTCCTCTGTTCGTTCCTTCCTCCCCACATCCCTTCCTGTTTGCTCCGCACTTCACCTCCCCCTCCCCTCCCCCAATCGCTCTGCGCGGTCTCATTGCAGGGACTCCTCGCAGGGAAAGAAGGGGAAAGGGAGGAAAGTGCACCCACGCTACGTCTATCCCCTCACCCCGCCCTGTCCTATCCCCTCACCCCGCCCTGTCCTATCCCCTCCCCTCCCCCTCCCGTCCTCTCCCCATCCCCTCCTCTTCCAAACCCATCCCTCCTCTTTCCATCCATCCTCTCCCCATCCCTCCTCTCCCCACCTCCTCATCCCTTGTGCGTTTCTGCTCCAGGGAGCTGCTTGGGACGCTGTGGACGGATGGCGGCGCCCATAGTCGCACAACAGAGGCGGACGTGGTGCTGCGTGAATCCCTTCCCCCCGTCCTCCCAACCTCTCTTTCTCCCTTCATCACGCCCCTCCTCTCCCCATCCCCTCCTCTCCCCCTCCCCTCATCACGCCCCTCCTCCCATCACGTCACGTCCTCTCCCCATCCCCTCCTCTTCCAAACCCATCCCTCCTCATCACATCCCTCCTCTTTCCATCCATCCTCTCCCCATCCCTCCTCTCCCCATCCGTCCTGTCCCCATCCCCTCCTCTCCCCCTCCGCTCCAGGTGTTTCCTCCCATCATCACTTCCTCCCATCATCACTTCCTCCCATCACCACTTCCTCCCATCATCACTTCCTCCCATCACCACTTCCTCCCATCACCACTTCCTCCCATCACCACTTCCTCCCATCACCACTTCCTCCCATTACCACTTCCTCCCATCATCACTTCCTCCCATCACCACTTCCTCCCATCACCACTTCCTCCCATCACCACTTCCTCCCATCACCACTTCCTCCCATTACCACTTCCTCCCATCATCACTTCCTCCCATCACCACTTCCTCCCATCACCACTTCCTCCCATCACCACTTCCTCCCATCACCACTTCCTCCCATCATCACTTCCTCCCATCACCACTTCCTCCCATCATCACTTCCTCCCATCACCACTTCCTCCCATCACCACTTCCTTCCATCACCACTTCCTCCCATCACCACTTCCTCTTCCTATCCCCTTTCCCTCTCACATCGTCCTATCTCCCCCTGTCCCTTCCCCCCTGCTTCCCTCTTCCCCCTCTTTCCCCGCTTTCCCCTCCCCATCGCTCGTATTCTCTTTCTCTCCCTGGCTATTGCAGTGACTACACTGATGATTTTTCTGGTGCTGCAACTCGCTCAGAGGCCCATCATCCCATGCCATGCTCGTAGAGAAAACAGTTCCCTTCATGTTTCTTTCGAGGCTTTGGAAAAGGTACAATCAAAAGTATTGTGCACATGCCTTTCTGTACCCTTCTGACACTCTTAGTGTGCATCAATCTTGGAAGAATATCTTGCACTGCAGAAACAAAATTACATACGGTACGGTATTATGCCTTTGAGATCCATCTCTTCAACAAAAATTATGCAAAGCACACAAGACACAGGTGGTGGTACGATGCAAAGCATAGACTAGCTGCGCCTCAGCTTGCTCCTCTGCTTCACCACTGAAAAATAGGGGAGATTGGAGTAGGCAGAAAGTTTCGTGTGAAGAAACATGGGGGAGGTGGAGTGAGGTGCAAGGGAACAACGGCAGGGGAATACACACAAGCGCACATAATGAAAGCATGTATGGGGAGACACTACTGGGTGCACATGCATGGGTATTAGAGGGCGGAAGGTGAGGAGTGAGGGGGAAGGGTAGGGCATGAAAAGGAAGGGAAGGGTTGTGAACGGCTGGGGGAAGGAAGGGCGGAGCAGGGAGGAAAAGGCAGGGATGGGGAGGGCACGTGGGAACAGGGCAGAGGGTGCAGGAGAGTGAGAGTGCGAGAGGACGGAGGGAGAGAGTGCAGGAGGAGGGAGAGTGGGGGAAGGAGGGTGGGAGGAAAAGGCAGGGATGGGGTTTCCTAGGTGGGAACAGGGCAGAGGGTGGGGGAAGGAGAGTGAGAGTGCGAGAGGATGGAGGAAGCAGGGAAGGGGATGGGGGGAAGCAGGGAAGGGGATGGGGGGAAGCAGGGAAGGCGATGGGGGGAAGCAGGGAAGGGGATGGGGGGAAGCAGGGAAGGGGATGGGGGGAAGCAGGGAAGGGGATGGGGGGAAGCACGGAAGGGGACGGGGGGAAGCACGGAAGGGGATGGGGGGAAGCACGGAAGGGGATGGGGGGAAGCACGGAAGGGGATGGGGGGAAGCACGGAAGGGGATTGGGGGAAGCACGGAAGGGGATGGGGGGAAGCACGGAAGGGGATGGGGGGAAGCACGGAAGGGGATGGGGGGAAGCAGGGAAGGGGATGGGGGGAAGCAGGGAAGGGGATGGGGGGAAGCACGGAAGGGGATGGGGGGAAGCACGGAAGGGGATGGAGAGAAGCACGGAAGGGGATGGGGGGAAGCAGGGAAGAGGACGTGGGGAGCGAGGGAGATGCCGGGGAGAGAGCTGGGGGGAGGACGGTGGGGAGCAGGGCGATTGATGGGGGGAAAAGGGAGAGATGTATGCAGTGTGGGGGTGAAAGGCGATTATTCGGGAATGGGAAGGGTGCATGTGCAGGTGGGAAAGGGGGCGTGACAAGTGTGCGAGATGAGAAGGGAGAAGGGAGGGATGGCGAGGACAAGGAGTGGATGGGAGGGCGACGGGGAAAGAGAGGGCGACGGGGGGAGAGAGAGACGGGGATTGCGAGGGGACGAGCGGGAAGGAGGGCGACGAGCGACAGAGAGGCGACGAGACGAAGGGGGGCAACGGGGGGAAGGGAGCGCGACGAGGGAAAAGAAGGGCGGCGGGCGGACGGGAAGGCAACGGGAGGAAGGGAGGGCGACGAGACGAAGGGAGGGCGACGAGACGAAGGGAGGGCGACGGGCGGAAGGAAGCGCGACGAGGGGAAGGAAGGGCGGCGGGCGGAAGGGAGGGCGACGGGTGGAAGGGAGGGTGACGGGCGGAAGGGAGGGTGATGGGCGGTGACGGGCGGAAGCGAGGGCGACGGGCGGGGAAGCGGCGAGGGCGACAGGCGAGGCGAGGGTAGTAGGCGGGGGAAGCGAGAGCGACGGGCGAGGGAACCGACCTCGACGGGCGGCGAGGGCGACGGGCGGGGTGAGGGCAGTGGGCGGAGAAAGCAAGGGCGACAGGCGAGGGTCGCGAGGTAGGCAAAGTGCTCTCTCATCTCCTCACGCCCATTTTCTCCGTGCTTCGATTGCGTATACAAGCTGCCCTACTAATTCCGGTTGTCTAAATGGCGCTCACTCTAAAACCCTAGCTGGTGTGCGATGGTCGGATACTAATAGCGAGTGAATGAGTTATGTTTGCTTGTTCTGTCGCACCAGTTTTCTTATGCTGTTCTTTCCCTCTGGGGTTGGTATGCGGGTTGCCTGCGAACTGTTTGCCTCACGGGAGAGTCGCATCAGGTTTCGCTAACCTGCCACCTTTCGCAATTCCTCCGCACCTCATTTCGCCCGAACCCCGGACCTACCAAACCAAGCGTTGACTCAGTTTTTGTAATTCAGGCTTCGGGTTTTAAAGCGACGGTGCACATTTGCCACCCAAAACCCAGAACCCTGGCGAACTGTTACTGCGGATGGAAAGTGTCCGCACGAAATCCTGGTTTTCGCCAGCCAGCACTTTCGCGCTGGCAAGCCTGGTTCAAAAAAAAAACTTCTGAACCCAACACTGCCAAAAGTTGCCCGTCGCTTTAAAGGCGCCGACGCTTCTATCTGGAGTACAGCATGGTATATTTCAAGTTCAAGATTCTTGAACTTGAAGTCGCAAAAAAACAGGGTAACCCACTTTGGTTTGAAACTCAACTCGCGACCCCGGGAAAACCTCTTGCGACCCTCACTCCTGATTGGTTTCAGTGACCAGTCGCACGACAGACCCGTCCATCGCCCACGATATTGCCTGGATCACCACTCACATATCTTGAAGACCAAGTAGTACTTCTAGTCCACTATGACACACGTAACTAGGAAACGGGCGGCTGGACGACAAAAGCACCCTCAAGGGTAGGCGTTTTTTTTCGGCCAACACTAGTCCCTCACGCTGTCTGTCCAATCGATGCGTAGCACAACTGCCTGCCAAACTCGCCCGCACCGTGCCTCTTTCGAATGCCAGACACGGTACGTCCGTGCTAGTGCCCCACACGCGCAAGGCTCCCGAAAATGGCATGAGTTGCCACTCACTGCTTGTAGGAAGTCGAGTGCGCGTTACCCACGTGAGACTCGCGGAAAAGCGATTCCCGCGCTTCATCACGTCGCCCACACTTGCTCAAGTCACGATATCTACCACTCGTCGCCCTCACTTCCTTTCGTCGCCCGCGCTTCCCACCGTCCAGCGCCTCTCCAGGTTGCCCGCGCGCGCACCTCCTTGACGCCCGCGCGCGCTTCTCCTTGACGCCCGCGTGCGCTTCGCCCGTTTGCCCGCGCGCGATTTTCCACGTCGCCCTCGCGCGCTTCTTCTCGTCGCCCGCGCGCGGTTCAGATCGTCGCCCGCGCGATTTTCTCCGCGTCGCCCCCGCCACTTGATTTCGCGCGCGCTTCTCCTCGTCGCCTCCGCCTCTGTATTTCGCGCAAGCGTCACCGTACCCGCCTGCATCCCCGCCTCCGTCCACCCTCCATCTCTTCCTCCCTCCCATCTATCCCTCTCCCCTCGCTTCCTATATCTCTCGCTCTCTCTTACACTCCCATCCCCTTCCCTGCTTCCCCCCATCCCTTTCCCTGCTTCCCCCCATCCCCTTCCCTGCTTCCCCCCATCCCCTTCCCTGCTTCCCCCCATCCCCTTCCCTGCTTCCCCCCATCCCCTTCCCCGCTTCCCCCCATCCCCTTCCCTGCTTCCCCCCATCCCCTTCCCTGCTTCCCCCCATCCCCTTCCCTGCTTACCCCCATCCCCTTCCCCGCTTCCCCCCATCCCCTTCCCTGCTTCCCCCCATCCCCTTCCCTGCTTCCCCCCATCCCCTTCCCTGCTTCCCCCCATCCCCTTCCCTGCGTCCCCCAATCCCCTTCCCTGCTTCCCCCCGTCCCCTTCCCTGCTTCCCCCCATCCCCTTCCCTGCTTCCCCCCATCCCCTTCCTTGCTTCCCCCCATCCCTTTCCCTGCTTCCCCCCATCCCCTTCCCTGCGTCCCCCAATCCCCTTCCCTGCTTCCCCCCGTCCCCTTCCCTGCTTCCCCCCACCCCCTTCCCTGCTTCCCCCCATCCCCTTCCCTGCTTCCCCCCATCCCTTTCCCTGCTTCCCCCCATCCCCTTCCCTGCTTCCCCCCATCCCCTTCCCTGCTTCCCCCCATCCCCTTCCCTGCGTCCCCCAATCCCCTTCCCTGCTTCCCCCCGTCCCCTTCCCTGCTTCCCCCCATCCCCTTCCCTGCTTCCCCCCATCCCCTTCCTTGCTTCCCCCCATCCCTTTCCCTGCTTCCCCCCATCCCCTTCCCTGCGTCCCCCAATCCCCTTCCCTGCTTCCCCCCGTCCCCTTCCCTGCTTCCCCCCACCCCCTTCCCTGCTTCCCCCCATCCCCTTCCCTGCTTCCCCCCATCCCTTTCCCCGCTTCCCCCCATCCCTTTCCCTGCTTCCCCCCATCCCCTTCCCTGCTTCCCCGAATCTCCCTCACTCTTCCGTCGTCGCTTGCGTTGCTCCTCAACGCCCTCGCCACCCGTTGTCGCATCTGTTTCGCCCATCCACACGCACTTCCCCTTATTCCGCATGTCTACCCAAGTCGCCACTCCCCGTCGGTAGCGAAGGCCACCACACACCACCAGCATTCCCCCCACTTGCCCGCCTCCTTTGCCCACCACGCACCACCAGGATCCCCCCCACTTGTCCGCCCCCCTTCCCCCCCACACACCACCAGCATTCCCCCCACTTGCCCGCCCCCCTTCCCCCCCACACACCACCAGCATTCCCCCCACTTGCCCGCCTCCTTTGCCCACCACGCACCACCAGGATCCCCCCCACTTGTCCGCCCCCCTTCCCCCCCACACACCACCAGCATTCCCCCCACTTGCCCGCCTCCTTTGCCCACCACGCACCACCAGGATCCCCCCCACTTGTCCGCCCCCCTTCCCTCCCACACACCACCAGCATTCCCCCCACTTGCCCGCCTCCTTTGCCCACCACGCACCACCAGGATCCCCCCCACTTGTCCGCCCCCCTTCCCCCCCACACACCACCAGCATTCCCCCCACTTGCCCGCCTCCTTTGCCCTCCACGCACCACCAGGATCCCCCCCACTTGTCCGCCCCCCTTCCCTCCCACACACCACCAGCATTCCCCCCACTTGCCCGCCTCCTTTGCCCACCACGCACCACCAGGATCCCCCCCACTTGTCCGCCCCCCTTCCCCCCCACACACCACCAGCATTCCCCCCACTTGCCCGCCCCCCTTCCCCCCCACACACCACCAGCATTCCCCCCACTTGTCCGCCCCCCTTCCCCCCCACACACCACCAGCATTCCCCCCACTTGTCCGCCCCCCTTCCCCCCCACACACCACCAGCATTCCCCCCACTTGCCCGCCCCCCTTCCCCCCCACACACCACCAGCATTCCCCCCACTTGCCCGCCTCCTTTCCCCCCACATTCCCACCTCCATCCCCTCAACCTGCAACCCCCCGTTCCCCCCACAGACCGACCTCCGTGCAACCCACATATATCCCTCTTTCCCCACTCCCACCTCCCTGCTTCCCCCCTCCCTCGAGACAGAGGGGGGAGGAACAGGGGGAAGGACCGAGAATGAGAGAGACAGAGGGGGACGGACAAAGAGGGAGAGACAGAGGGGGAAGGACACAGGTGGAGTGACAGATGGTGAACAGCACAGGGGGGGAGACAGAAGGGGAAGGATGGAGGGGGAGGATAAGAGGGGGAGGGGCACAGAGGGGGAAGGACAGAGGGTGAGAGCGGGTACTTACGGCTTGTCCCTCTCCTCGTCGACCTCACTTTCCCCAAATTGTTTACACCCCTCTTTATTTTGACCAACCTCCCTTCCTCCCACCAGCTCTGCTTACCCCCCAGTCTATTCTCCTTTGCCACACCTGCTTCCACCCTCCCTCCCCCCTGCTTCCCCTCTCTCGCCTCCCTGCTTCCCCCCTCCCTCCTCCCTGTTTTCCCTCTCCCTCCTCCCTACTTCCCCCCTCCATCCCCAATGCTTCCCCCATGCACCTCCTCTCCCTCGATCTTGCCATCTTTCCAGTCCCCTCCCCATGTGCCTCTCCAATCCCTCCCCTTGTACCTATCCTCTCCCTCCCCATGTACAATCGCAAAGAGGAGGTGGGACGCACGCGCAACAGGGGGGCAGCGCAGCAGACTTGTGTGCAATCTCAGTGACCATTCACCCTCTCTTGCAGACCTTTTTGGACTGCATTCACATCCGGAAGGAGGAGGGGGGACGCAGGTGCAACTAGGGGGCAGCGCAGCAGACTTAGGAACACGCACACATTCGAAAAGTGCCTGCTGCATCGATGAGTTGATAAAGTCTGGGCTGAATGCTGAGATGTGTGCTTCTTTTTCTCTTCCCATTCCCCTCCGTGCTTGCCGCCCAGCAGGTGCTGGAGAGCGGCGCCCAGGTGCTGAGCGAGTGGGGAATCTGCTGCATTGATGATTTTGAAAACATGTCCAGTAATGCCTCGTTCAGCATAATGCCAGCAGCATGCTGCAACATACCCCCCACTCTTTTCATACTCCCCACTACTCTCATACCCCCCACTCCTTTTGATACTCCCCACTCCTCTCATACCCCCCACTCCTTTCATACTACCCACTCCTCTCATACCCCCACTCATTCCATACCATCCACTCCCCCCACTCCTCTCATACTCCCCATTCCTCTCATACCCAGCACTCCCCTCTTACACCCAACTCCTCTCATACCCCACAGTCCCCTCATACCCCCTGCTCCTCTCATATCCCTACACCCTCGTTCCAAACTTCCCACTCCTTTCATATCAATCACTCCTCTCATACCCACAGCTAATATGAATTCAAATTGTCACTGTTTCGTCTGGTCCCGCTTTCCACCTATGCACTGCTTTCCACCCTTGCACCCCTGCTTCTCACCCTTGCACCCCTGCTTCTCACCCTTGCACCCCTGCTCTCCACCCTTGCACCCCTGCTGTCAGCCCTTGCACTTCTGCTTTCCACCCTTGCACTCCTGCTTTCCACCCTTGCACCCCTGCTTCTCACCCTTGCACCCCTGCTTCTCACCCTTGCACCCCTGCTTCTCACCCTTGCACCCCTGCTCTCCACCCTTGCACCCGTGCTGTCAGCCCTTGCACTTCTGCTTTCCACCCTTGCACTCCTGCTTTCCACCCTTGCACCCCTCCTGACAGCCCTTGCACCCCTGCTGTCAGCCCTTGCACCCCTGCTGTCAGCCCTTGCACCCCTGCTGTCAGCCCTTGCACTCCTGCTTTTCTGCTTCAAGAGCAGCAGCAAGTCCCTCCAGAGATCCTATAGCTGCCACTGGTTCGTCTGCTCCTACTCTGAGCTACTACCGGTACATTTTTTAGCCCTCATGCCGTGCGCCTTCTATCCCACCCATGCATCTGCCATGTGTTGGCAGGCTAACTGGTGTGTCGATTCCAGTACAAGTTTATAACTGGTGTAACGTATATTGCAACTATAATATGTGCGAGTTTATTTCACTCTTAGCATGATTAGGTTTAGGACAGAACGGCAAAGTCCTCTAAACACATTCAAGCATGACATGTTGAAGACCATATTAGCACAGTGGGGATAGAAACACAACCCATTCACTCATCCTGGCCTGCCACCCACACATCCACTTCCTGCCCGTCATAGCGGCCTGCTACCCACCACTCATCACTACCGTCGCTCCACTCCTCCGCATCTTTTATCACTGCGTCTGCCACATCATCCCCTTGATCCGATGGCAATTCCGCCTTATCCCTCTCACAGTGGTAACCTGCAGCTATAGCCAATGAGAAGGAGGATAAGCCAGAATTTAGGGTGGTGTGCCTGTAGCGATGAATAATCTCATCCGCAGAGCATGGCAGGGCATGCCTAGAGGGGGGGAGGGAGAACAGGTGGGTTTACAGTGGTGAAAGCAGTCCCAAGGCAGCAGCAACCAGAGTTGCTGCTGCCTTGGGACAGTCCAGGTGGGTGCATGGTGCTGAAACCAGGCCCAAGGCAGCAGCATCCAGAGATGCTGCTGCATTGGGACAGAACAGGTGGGTTAACAGTGGTGAAAGCAGTCCCAAGGCATCAGCAACTCTGGTTGCTGCTGCCTTGGGACAGTCCAGGTGGGTGCATGGTGCTGAAACCAGGCCCAAGGCAGTTCCAACCAGAGTTGCTGCTGCCTTGGGACAGAACAGGTGGGTTTACAGTGGTGAAAGCAGTCCCAAGGCAGCAGCAACTCTGGTTGCTGCTGCCTTGGGACAGAACAGGTGGGTGCATGGTGCTGAAACCAGGCCCAAGGCAGCAGCATCCAGAGATGCTGCTGCATTGGGACAGAACAGGTGGGTTTACAGTGGTGAAAGCAGTCCCAAGGCAGCAGCCACTCTGGTTTCTGCTGCCTTGGGACAGAACAGGTGGGTGCATGGTGCTGAAACCAGGCCCAAGGCAGCAGCATCCAGAGATGCTGCTGCATTGGGACAGAACAGGTGGGTTTACAGTGGTGAAAGCAGTCCCAAGGCAGCAGCAACTCTGGTTGCTGCTGCCTTGGGACAGTCCAGGTGGGTGCATGGTGCTGAAACCAGGCCCAAGGCAGTTCCAACCAGAGTTGCTGCTGCCTTGGGACAGAACAGGTGGGTTTACAGTGGCGAAAGCAAGCCCAAGGCAGCAGCAACTCTGGTTGATGCTGCCTGGGGACTGAACAGGTGGGAACATGGTGCTGAAACCAAGCCCAAGGCAGCAGCATCCAGTGTTGCTGCTGCCTTGGGACAGAACAGGTGGGTTTACAGTGGTGAAAGCATTCCCAAGGCAGCAGCAACTCTGGTTGTTGCTGCCTGGGGACTGAACAGGTGGGGGCATGGTGCTGAAACCAGGCCCAAGGCAGCAGCATCCAGAGATGCTGCTGCCTTGGGACAGAACAGGTGGGTTTACAACGGTGAAAGCAAGCCCAAGGCAGCAGCAACCAGAGTTGCTTCAGTTTCTCCCCGTCGGCCGTGCACGCCAACATAACGGTCACGCGTTCCTTCTGGTACCCCGCGCTCCTGATGGGCACCTAGCGAACTCCCGTCTGGTCCACAGTGGTGGTGGCAGGCATCTCGAGCCAAAGCGGCATTTGGTCGGCGTTGATAATCCAGCGGGTTTCGATGTCGCGCTCACGTCGCTTGTCACGCACGAATTGCCAGAAGTTCTGGCACTGCTCCGCAACATATGCAAACCATGGAGACGTAGAAGGGGACGGGTGGGTTAGTAAACAACAGGCACCGAAAAACAAAGCAACATGCAAACATGGCGAAATCGTTCTTACGGGCGGCGGCTTTCTGGGCAATTTATATCTTCATGCGCACGCTCAGATTCCACCTCTTCCAAAACCGCTCCGACCACCGTTGGCTCCCCTTCCATTTCACGTCGGGGAAAAGCACCTTCATGAATTCCTTTGACCACTCCTGCAGACGACCGACGGAGACGGAAGTTCCCTTGCGGCGCCACTCGAGTAGCCTAGCGTAAACCTTCAGCTCCATCGGCCTGTACCAGGAGGCCCTCCCGCGGCCGTGCATACGCTTCCGTGCGGAGTGCGCTTCCTTGAGCATCGCGGCGGCTCTCTTCCACTCCGAGAGGCACTTGTCAAGAAGTGATGTGGATTGATTAGGGTTGTGAGTACAAGTAGGAAACCCTAAGGGGTTGTACTCACTAGAGTATGCCCCACTACAGCCTAGAGCATACAAACCTAGTTTGACACATCCCCATAGGCAAAGTGGGGGATTGCAAACACAACGAACGGTCACAAGACCAGTCAAGCAAGAGAACAAAGCAAAGCAAAGCTCAGCTCAGGATGGCTCTCAAGATTACCACGCATTCTGAGCACAAGCAAGCGACCACAAGGCCAATTCACATGCAGAGTTTATAATAGCATATATACAACAAGAGCAAGATAACCTAGCAAGTGTAAGCATGCCGGTAAACTCATATATATCAGTATACAACAAGAGCAAGATCAAGAGACAAGCAAGTGAGGCAGAGTGGGCACAAGCCCAAGAGCAGTGCAGAAAAGTTGATGATCACTAGACCCAAGGGCCTTGGTGAAGACATCAGCAGTGTTGGCCCGTATGGCAACGTAAGCAAGACGAAGCTGACCACGCTGCTGCAGCTCTCGCGTGAGGAAGTAACGGAGAGCAATGTGCTTTGTTATGTGCTCCAGTCTCTGGTCCTGACACAAGGCAATCATGGCCTTGTTGTCAACGTACAGAACTGGAGGAGAACGAGGCCGCTCACCCAAGTCGGTCAGCAGGTAGGTCAGCCAGCGGAGCTCCTGTGCAGCCATAGCCCCAGCGTAGATCTCGGCCTTACAGCTGGAACTAAGTACAGAAGACGAGCGAGTGGACCTCCATGAGACAGAACCAGCGCCGAGGCTGAAGCTGTACCCCTGTGTCGACCGGTGAGTAGTCTGGTCGTCAGCCCAAAAAGCGTCTGAGTGACCGGTGAGAACAACTGAACCCTGTCCTGCAAGCACAAGCCCCATGCCCGATGTACTGCACAAGTAACGCAATACCCTCTTCGCAGCTTCCTAGTGCTGTCGGAATTCCTCCTCTGCTAGGCCTCCTCCCTTCCTCCTCTTGTTGAGCCACTGCCTGCTCCTCCTGCCTCTTTCGTACTCACCCCATCAGCCCTCTCACTTCTCGGTGCAGCCCCCTGGTCTTCTCAGCAGCATCCCTCACTTGAAAAGACCTGCGCTAGTGGGTAGGGCCTGGCTCGCCTGATCACACAAACTCGGCAGACTCCCTACCAACACCACAATGTCATATTGGCTTGCGAGAGTTGGCTTCGCTAGTTGCTTAGAGCTAGAGTATAATCCGTCTCTTTTAAGATAGATGTGAAAACAAACACGCAAGCAAGGTGCTACTCCTTTGGCTGTTGCCTAAGTACCATCCTGCCTGGTTACCGTTGTCTTGCAACGGAACCCCTTTTTGCTAGATTCCTACATGTCCCGCTCGATCCTTTCTTTCCCGCCAGATTCCCTACAGGCTTCTCCCGTATATCCTACTTGTCTAGTTTTTATATTGCTTGCTACTACTTCTGCAATAAAAAACGTGACAGTGCACCTTTCGGTGTCTAGCGAGCCAGGAGG